TTCATCAGGCTGTCAAGGACATCAAATTTTGTTCCAGAGGAAGTCGTTGAAGTTAAAATCCATCGATATCACACATTTAATTACACACATACGAAAAGACGAACAATAAATAAACATTACTAAATCGCTAGTACCGGGAAACACAATACGCGATGGTCTAGTCCTGCCCTCCGTGCGTATCGTGTTTCCCGGTACCGGCATTTTGTAATGTTTATTTATTAAGTATTTTGACAGTTCTGCCGGCAGCGTGTTCCCTGACTGAAGTGAGGTTATCCCACTGTTTTATAAAACCATGGTTTTTATCCCTAAACTACGAATATTATTTATGTCAACTGTAATGTGTGTCTTCGTGTTAAATGTCAACATTTCTACGAAACCCATCGGGTGGATTTTATAACAAAAATTTGGTCTACCTAAACTTCCGACTGATGATGAACCTACGGGTTTGAAATTAATATCGGACTACCATAATAAGGATTGCTAAGGTAAGACTTTACTATTTATTTGATTATATAAGCAATCCAGAGGCTGAAATGATAGAGTTTATTTATTGTTTGTCTTTTCGTTTGTGTATAATTAAATGTGTGACATCGATGGATTTTAACTTCAACGACTTCCTCTGGAACAAAATTTGATGTCCTTGACATCCTGAAAACTGCAGTAGCCTATATAGACTACAAAGGATCACTTTGACAGTATAAGGTTTTTAAACAATTATTTATTACTATTAATTTCAACAAGAATATATAATTGTTGTGACATAACTAACTAGGCCTAAAATGAAAAATTTTTACGTTACTTATAATTACAAAACATAGTTGTGGACGTGGGTTGGATGCGACTATTGTCACAGAAAACGTACTACTATAACCCAGAATGCCAACCGCATGGTAAAAAGCATTAAGCGTTTTGAGAGAGCTTTGCCTGTCAATCCGTAGGCAGCGCCACCAGCGTTGCCATGCAATAGCATAGCCTACGGATTGACAGGCAAAGCTCTCTCAAAACGCTTAATGCTTTTTACCATGCGGTTGGCATTCTGGGTTATAGTAGTACGTTTTCTGTGCTATTGTTCACAAGTGCTGCAGCTAGTCCCTTTGCTGCTGCTAGACTGAAATCACATTTGAGAGTCCAATAATAGCGAAAAGTAATTTTCTCTATTAGGCTATTACAAATGAATAAAAGTGCAATGTTTGATATAAAAGTTCAAAGACATTTTAAAATCACAATAGGCTATTGCATTTAATTTGAATTAAGAAAATTGCATGTGTGCAGGGACTCCCTAGTCCCTGTTAGGGTGAACTCGAGAAGTACGGTAACAAAAGACTAGTCGCCGCACTGGTGAAAATATTCCTCTTAAAACGACAAACCCTTGGGTCCTCATTTTAAACTTGTCCACAACTAAAGATTTTAATCCTGTTCCATTTACTGTATTTATTGTGTTGGTCTCAAATTTTTTGTATCTACAGGGTGTCCCGGAACTCTCTACCAATATTTTAGGGCATTGTTCCTGGGTAAGAAACATATCTAAATATCATATTTAAATTGTCCGGAAGTCCATACTTACTCAGATAGCCGCCATTTTGTTTTTTCACTTATTAATTTTTTTCTGAAAACTGGTTAAACATACGAAGTTGAAACTTTGCACAAACATTTATGACAACTAGACAAAGCTACAAAAAAATTATGACGATTTTTCAAACTCATAAAACAAAATGGCGGCTGTTTAAAATGTTGTTTCTTAAATTACTCGAAAACCGTTGATGTTACAAAAATTTTACAAGAATAATTGTTTTAAGGCAATTTTATTACAAATCGATCGACACCTTAATCTTTAAGATCGGACGGGTATTAACTGAGATATGGCAGTTTTAGTGATACGTGACCGCCGGATATTAGTTGCAGCGCATGCTGAAAGCGGTCACGTATCACTAAAACTGCCATATCTCAGTTAATACTCGTCCGATCTTAAAGATTAAGGTGTCGATCGATTTGTAATAAAATTGCCTTAAAAAAGATATTCTTGTAAAATGTTTGTAAAATCAACGGTTTTCGAGTAATTTAAGAAACAAAATTTTAAACAGCCGCCATTTTGTTTTATGAATTTGAAAAATCGTCATAATTTTTTTGTAGCTTTGTCTAGTTGTCATAAATGTTTGTGCAAAGTTTCAACTTCGTATGTTTAACCAATCTTCAGAAAAAAATTAATAAGTGAAAAAAACAAAATGGCGGCTATCTGAGTAAGTAAGGACTTCCGGACAATTTAAATATGATATTTAGATATGTTTCTTACCCAGGAACAATGCCCTAAAATATTGGTAGAGAGTTCCGGGACACCCTGTATATAGTTTTTTGTTGTTTTTGTTTCGTTTTACCATTTGAATGTGATACCTATTAGTTTTTTGTTTTTTTTTTATTGTTTTTGTATTAGGTTAAAAATCAAACCATGAGCAGATCAGGGGTGTCCGAACAAAAAAGAACTGTGACCTGGGGTCCTCTAAATGAACAAAAAGAACCAGGTGCCAAGTAGAGAAAACGTAGACTCCGTGAATTATTTTGATACAGTAGAGCGTAGAAAATCCGAAATGTCAAATTCCGAACCGCTCCTGAGGGTTTTAAAATATTAAATTAGCAAATAGACAACGCATGTTTTACAATTTCGCAGGCCAAACAGTCGGCGCCCGGCAGGGAAATGAGTGAATGCACCGAGCCAGTCAGTGTCTTGTTCGTTTCCAATGTATAAACTATACCCTACATTAAGAAACAAATTACAGTAATGTACAGAAAATACCTAAGTACAAATATTAACTGTATCCTAGAACTGTGTTTTTAATACTGTAGGCCTACCTATTTGTCTATTAGGAATTTCTAGATTATGTTTGAAAATCACACTAGGCCTACTACGGTCCCAATTGGTTCGGATTTTTGATGCTCTACTGTGTATATCAATTGAACTATGAGGGCGGGTTTCTAAGTAAGAGCCGTTTTACGTATAAATCCGTACTTCTCTTGTACGCCGCAAAAGGCCCCGCCACTTATTGGCACGATTTCCAGCTCTGTAGCTGACATGTACACGCTGTTGCTGTGTGTTTTTAAATGTACGCTGTTGCTGTGTGTTTTTAAATGTACGCTGTTGCTGTGTGTTTTTAAATGTACGCTGTTGCTGTGTGTTTTTAAATGTACGCTGTTGCTGTGTGTTTTTAATTGTACGCTGTTGTTGTGTGTTTTAAAATGACGCTATTGCTGTGTGTTTTTAAATGTACGCTGTTGCTGTGTGTTTTTAAATGTACACTTCACTGTGTGTTTTTAAATTGTTAAAACCATTGAACATCCCGCCGTGTGCGAGATATAGTCAGTGCTCAGTGATACGTTTTTTTATCACAAGAAACATATCACATGCTGACATTCATCGCCAGATGACTGAAGTTTATAACCCTGATGCAATAGTGGGGAAACTGTATAAATAGGTTAGGGAGTCCAAAAATGTCAGTCAAAATGTCCATTTTTGAAGGAATTTTGTTTTTGGTTGGTGCCAGACTTCTGACAGAATACCTCAAAAAAGGGAAAAGGTCATAGCCATTTTTACATTCCATAACCCATTTCCGCACTCAACCGTCACTCATTGCATTAGGGCCAGCCTTCAGTCATTTGGCGATGAATTTCGGTATTGGATATGTTTCTTGTAGGTAATCATAAAACGTATCACTGACCTTATCTTGGACGCTGCGGGAGATTCGATGGTGTAAAATCTTTTTCTAAACCCGCAGCGAAGTGTACATGACAGCAACAGAGCTGGGAATGGTGTCATTCTGTTCACAAATGATGCCAGTAAGTGGCGAGGAGCTTCGTTACCGTACAAGCGAGGATACACAAAAACGGCCCTAACTTACAAAACTGCCTTCGTACTTATCACAAAATTTTTTTTAGAAAATTGAAATATAAACATTATAATTATTTTAAAATATTTTTGCCAGTGAGGAGATTCTAAATAGTTGATCAATTAACCAGGAACAATGAAAACAGTCATATTCTTTTCTGTTACCGGTATCTCTCTTCATAAATTTGAACTATGCACGTTTTGTTTCATTATTCATCATTATTCATTTTTATCATTATAACTAAGCTCTTAATTTGTTCAATCCTTATTTCACTACATAATAATAGATGTTCCAAGCTGTTTGGTTAAAATACAGTTTAAATGTTATGCTTAGTGATAATAAACAACATAACTTATGCCTAACCTTGTAACACTCTCCATCCGCACAGTGACTTATGCTTATGCACATGATACTAAACAGCATGTTGCATCTAGCAAAACTATGTTGTTTACTACAGAGGGGAATCTTTAACTTTGTTGTATAAAATTCCATAAACTGCTTTCGAATGGCTGTCTCTGAGATTAATTGACTGACACCCACATTAATTAGGGTTTATTGTTTTTGCATGATACACATAATGAATTGAATAGTAAAAATAACTGTACACTTTTGCTTACAATTTTGTTCTGTCTGTATCGCTGACTCACATTCCTTGTCTATGCTTTAGTGAAAATTTTTGATCAAGGAGGTGAATTCCAAATGTATTTTTCAAATTAATTGTAACTACTGTTGCTAGTGTAATAAACTTAGCCTACTGAAATTTTTAATAATATGAGATAACTTGATAAATTATTAACTCCCTACTAACAAATACTAATGTTTAAATTTTTGATCTAATTTATAACACAAGTTCTTTTAAGTTTTTATAGCAGATTAGGGTTTCAAACTTGTTATCATGTGTTTTCATTAAAGCTTGATAAGTTCATTCACTTATCGGTAATTTGATTAATTTTGCTTCACATATCAGTAGCTATCTAAATTGCGATATAGCTCACCACTTTAATCGTAACTGATGTAATGTTGATATATTTATAGGGAAACTAACTAAGGTTCTCATTTCTTTATTGAACTGTAACTTAACTCAGTTTCTAACAATGCCGCTAACAGGTTCAAATTTCTCTGTAGATTATAGTCATACAATGGTGCCGGCTCTAGAGAAACCTGCTCCGGAATTCGCTGGAACTGCTGTTGTCAAAGGGCAGTTCAAGGACATCAAACTGTCGGATTACAAAGGCAAATACGTTGTCTTGTTCTTCTACCCACTTGACTTGTAAGTATTTTTATCCATAATTGTATAATAATTGAATAGTATGTTATTTAAATTGTTTGTCTGGCTTTTAGGTTAAGGCAAATGTCGTTATTTTGATTGTTTTTACTTATACAAACTATATCCTTTTGACTTATTAACCTATTTTTACTTGCATTGATTTACACTAATTAATTAATCCCTAATGCTTGTCAGGGGCTTGTGTTCAACTATACAGGTTGGGCCAAGGAACTACTGCATTTTTATTATTTAAAGTTACTGAAGTATATCTATATCATAAGCAAGAGGTTGTTTAAGTGTGTTATTTCCCCTTTTTTCGGGTAGTTTCAAAAATAAATTAGGGGCATAAATTTCACCCAAGGTAGTCTAGATCATGGACCTCAATAGACGAATATACATGGTCCATTCATGTCCTTGAGCTTTATCAAAGTAGGCCTATTTTGTTTGGTCTCCATGGGGAAAAAACAATTCCACAATGATTATATTTACTTTGTTAATATTTGAATAAAGTCATTCACTATTCTCTGACACACTGCTGATTGAATGAATCCAAAAAACAATTTAACAAAGTTGTACAGTCAGGGTGTCCAGCCAACCGAGTAAACCGTGAATTGTACGTGAATTTTGATGTCCTGGAAAAAATCTATGAATTGTAGGTACATCAATTTTGTATGGAACCAGGAAATTTCAGATTTCGAATAGGGGGAATCGTAAAAAACCCCGCCTGATATTACTGATTTTCTCGTTTTGTTAAATCGCAACTGCGAGAAACTATTACCAATCACTGATTGTTCTTCTATCGTAAGAAAAAGAAGAAATTATCAGTAAAAAACTGACCTTTACCTAAAGTTCTCTGTTGAATTTTATCACTTTGAACTTATGTTCTTGGTTTGTGACTAAGTTTTTAGGATTTTAGATTTTAAATCCCTGACTTTTTACTATAATATCCCTGTCTTTTACTAATACCATTATCCACCGAAACAAAAAACAAGATAAAATCTGAATTATTCTATGTGTAAGAATGCAAACATTTTTGTTATCGGATAGTTATCGATCAGTTTAATTCTTATACTTGATATCATACAATTTTTTATTTATATTTTTTTTTTTGCGCCAGTATCCAACTAAAGGATATTTTTTCTAGTTTTGTTTGTTATTTTTTATTTGTTGTATGGTTTAGCCATCTCAACTTTCTTGGTTTAGAAATGTTTTATACAACTCTGTTTCTGAGTTATTTTTTGGCCCTTTGATGGGTTTTAATGTCCTAGTTGGTATAAAAAAAATGAGTTAGGGATGCTTATTAAAGCGGCCCTAAATTTATTTGTCTTGGAAATTTTGCATTTTGAACTTGGGAAACCTGGAACTGTCTTTAAAAAAATTTTATATTGAAGGGACACTGGACACCATGACAGTTGAATTTTGTTGCTATGTTAATGATGTGTATAAAAGGTTGTTAAACTGCAGATTTAAATATATACTAGGCTACATTTTTGTTATTTGGTTCATGGTTCATGCCATATGAAAAGCTATACAAAATGTTCCTCCTCAGTCATTAGTAATTTCCATTGAAATGGATGCCTCACCTTGAAATACTGATTAAGCTACCTGTTAAGTAACCACTTGTCATTGTATTAATTTCAATTGTGAATTTCAATTAAGAAAGAGTTTTTAACAAAACATTCTACGTTAAAATATAAAATAGTGAAATGTTTAAAATGCAAAAATACTTTTCAAGTTTGAAAAATATAGTTAAAAACTTTGAGCAGAGGTTATGTTAGTAAAAATGTTGTGCATAGTGTTTTTTCTATCTATATATTTATTTATACAAATATGCAAGTGATTTGGTATTTTGGTAAAATCGATTTCACATATTCTACAGTATAGGATATTAGGAAATTTAAAACTTGCGCTTCTGGCCATAGATCCAAGAATTTTTTTAAACACCAGTCACAGCTCTGCTCTACGAGCTTAATAGTTTCCATCTTATTCTTATGTACAAACTTCAGCTAAATATAGGTGTTGTTGAAAAAAGGAAAGGGGTGTTGTAAGGGGGTCGCAGCAATGTCACATTTTCGTCTAACATTCAAAACTAATTAATTGTTGATGCGTTGAGTTATTATTTATGAAAACAATTTTTCATTTCGCTCTAAAAAAAATTGTGTTGTGAATTATTCAATCAGACTAGTTAGGTGATAATCAAGTGACCCTTTTGCAACCTACTGCTTACAGTTACATGTGTTGGATAAATAACGTTTTATGATAGACTTATCAGTCAAGAGTGCTAATAATTCAGACTAGATCTTGTATGATGCACTCAAGTTAAAAGTGCATTAACTTACAAGATCTTGAACTTACAAGAGTGTTGGTTAAGTTGCATTATTGTGGAAACATGATTTCATTTGTAAACAAACTATTTTTAACTGCATCAACTGCTCTCATTAAACATCTAGATGACTAGTAATGTATTAAAAAATGAAAGTTAAGTCTTAAAGTAGCAGTCTTGTTTCATTTGAGCTCTATTACAAATCTTTTTAAATAAAAATTCTTGATAATTAAATTTGTTATTTTCCTCTAGAATGATATTTTACTGTCATAAATTAAAAGTTTCACTGATAGTACCATAATTAATTGAAGTTATGGGATCTATCGAGCTTTGATATTAACTCAAAGTTTGAATATTTATTGAAAGTTCGAATACTTATAAATCTTCTTTGAGTAAGTCAGAGGTTCCAACTCAACCGTAACATCTAGCAGGGGTTCCCACTCAACCGTTAAAACCTTGAATGAGCCGTGAATTTCACAGTTGAACCTTAAAAAGAGATTCTGATTCTTGGTTTAGAGTGTCTAGATTCATTTAAGGTTCTAGAATATCCCTCAGTGTTGAATATCCTGATATTTTCACATCAATTCAAAAAATCTTTATTCAGTCATAAACTAGAATATACAAGAACATACAATTTTATAAAAGACAAAATAAATATAGTACATGAGAAACAAATGTAAAAAATACTGTAATACAATTATTGCACAAAAAGAGAACAAAAACATGCGTCTGTGAAAGAACTATATTGTTATTGCTTAAACCAGAAATCACACATAATTTTGATAAAAAATGTGTACAGCAGTAATGTGCATGCGTGATCTCACTCCCAATTTCCCATGCAGCAGCATTGTACCATATTATGTGTTAGAACTGAATGTCAATCATTATAGTAATTGAAATATAAGCATTTCAGAGGCTATAACGTATTGAACTTTGTTTCCAACGGGACTATATCAATTGTTTCTTTGCAGTACATTCGTGTGCCCGACCGAGATTATCGCTTTCTCCGAGGCTTATCCGGAGTTCCAGAAGCACAATTGCGAGGTGATTGCTGCGTCGACTGACAGCCACTTCAGCCACTTGGCCTGGGTGAACACCCCTCGCAAACAGGGAGGTTTGGGAGACATGAACATCCCCCTACTGGCCGACAAGTCCGCCAAGATTGCCCGATCTTACGGAGTGTACAATGAGGAGACTGGAATTCCGTACCGAGGTCTGTTCATCATCGATGACAAGCAGCGTCTCCGTCAGATAACTGTCAATGACCTCCCTGTTGGACGCTCCGTAGATGAGACTCTTCGTCTCGTACAGGCATTCCAATTCACCGACAAGCATGGAGAAGGTACGTTGAAACAACATTGTACTATGATTATATTTGTATTGGCTCTAGTGAAATAGGTTTACTAAGCTTGTTGTGTTTTCAAAATTGAGGTTAAGAACTCTCGGTGATCAAGCACATATTAGATTATAGATGATCATGTATAAGTTATGGTAATAACAATACTCAACTAATCATTTTCTCATGAGTGGAAAACCCCTTTTGCATCGAACCTGCAAATTTCAGGAAATATATTATTGCTTTATTGTAGTTTCATTATTAAACACTTAAAATTGAGCTCAGTTTTACATTGGTCTAATAGGTTATTATGTTTGTTTAAAGATAAACACACCAGTTTTTCTTATGAGATAATTGTTTGTTGCTACAGTGAAACATCAAAGAAAGTTTCAGAAACCTTTTTGTACCCAAAAACTAAAATGTACAGTGGTCCCGAGTCTAGGTCATGGCCATAAAGACTTTGGTAATAGCTACTTTTCCTTAAGAGGAAGCTCTGTAATACCATATTAATGTATTTTTATGTCTTTACTAACAATGTGACCTTTGACCACAGTGTGTCCAGCTGGGTGGAAGCCGGGTGACAAATCAATGAAGCCCAGCCCCAAGGAGGCGCAGGAATATTTCCACGCCGTTAACTAAACATGAAACATTTTGTTCCAATGTAATACTTAATCTTTTGTTTCCTTTGTTCATTTATTGTTAACTTTTCTTAAGATTTATCACTACAAATGCATTGTGATATTAAACATGTTTATGATGAGGCTTTAAGGGATGGTGATCGGTGCTGAGTTCTAAGAGTGACTTTCATTTCTCTAATTGCATTTGTTCTTTTCGTTTCAAATTTCAATTCTGAATTTAGTTATCTTAACTGGTTTTTCCTCAGAACTCAACATCACAATAAAGAGTATCTAAGATAGCTAGTTTTAAGTGTTTTTCACGTATGTGTTAATAAAAATGTTTTCATAGTATTTTTGTCTTATTATTGCACCAGTAGTTCATTATATACACACTGATATTGTTGTTAATGTACCATCCATCTATACCAACCGATATATTAATTGTTTACATGGAAAGTGAGAAAGAAATTTACTAATAATATGCCTCTTTTATTACTATGTGGAATGTAACAATTTGTTAAATTGCAAAACGGCTGATTTCTCAAAATTTTACTTTGCCCACTACTTATCCTCACTCTAGATGACAACTGGTATGGTGATAACATAAAAGGTTTTTTACATACAATGACAATCTACAGACAACAGATTATATTGTAGATTAAATAAATTCTCCTAAAATGGTTACGTTTCGGTCAAAAAACAAAGTAATTTTTAATTTTTGAAGATGCTTGTCATTTGTAAAGGGAGAGAGTACCTACTTTTAATTTACTGAATTTTAAGGTTGCCAATGTCATTGTCTAATCGCGCAGCTCAGCCCCAGCCACAAAACTTCCTTGCAGTGTTGTAAGTGGGGAACATTTATAAAACACAATAATTTTTAGTTGCCACTTTCCAAAAACTAGGCAATATTTTAATGAAATCAAATGAAAAACGTCTTTATTGAGCCAGCGTTATTCAAAGTACAGTTCTTTGTTTTTCAATACAACTGTTGTCAAACTAAACGTAATTGGTCAGCTTATACTAGACATATTGCAACAATACTTTTTAGATCAACTGGCTAATTATTATTGGTATAAAATAAATCTTTCAAACCCCTTTTAAACCTTGAGAGGTTTACTGATTTGAGGTCAGTTGGAAGGGCATTGTAGGCTTGGGGCCCAAAGTAAGAAAAGGCTTTCTTCCCGAATTCCGTTCTGACCCGTGGCAAGTGTAGCAAGCCTTCCTGCCGAGTGAGGCGAACGCTCACCTCAGACCTGAAAACCAGTTTCCTTCTGATGGATTAGGGACACTCCGTTAACAAAGTTTTAGAGAACGGTTTGAAGGTCACAGCATTGTTTAACTGTCAAGATGTTTGCCCTTGACCTATACTCGCTGATATGATCCGACCTTTTTAAGTTGAAGACAAATCTCAGAGCACTGTTCTGAAGTCTTGTGAGAATATTTATATTCTCTTGAGTAAGGCTTATTTATATTCTCTTGAGTAAGGCTGTTGCCAAAAGAGGGAAGAGCATAATAAATAGATGGAAGAATTATAGCACGAACTATTTCAAGTTTGGTTGACATTGGTAGAACAAACCTAAACCTATTAATTAATCGTAATTTATTAATGTGTACTTCATCTTTTTTAACTCAAAAAGTTGATATTTTTCTCTCCTGAAAAAGTGCCTTTTTGTTCATTAGCTGCACAAACTATCCCCTCACCTCCTATTGTAAATACAATAGAGTCCCGCAAACTCGGTGTAATGTGGACTGGAAGGGTGCAGAGTTTGTGAAATGCCAGGTTATCGGGAACTAGGGTTAAAAATAAGGACAATACAATTTTTAAGCTTTTTAACCTCCTTTTAGCGAATTTCCCTATAGGGAAGTAGCTATTACCGTAGGTGGCATGGTAAAACCTAGGCCCGGGACCGATTTACTTTTTCATTTTGATGTCCCCAGAGGACAAAAACACCATTTGTTCAAATTTTATATATGTATATATATATATATATATATATATATATATATATATATATAGATTTATATATATATGTGTCCGTAAACGCGATAACTTGAGTATTTTTGTCCGATTTTGATGAAATTTGGTTTAAAGGTGTAAGGCGACATAAACTTGAATGAGTTCGCGAACCAGCATGATCGGACCATGGGAACGGGGTTTCCCGGTGGGTTTTAAGGGGTAAAAATTGGTTTTTCTCATTTTTGACCCCCAAAACACAAAATTTCCCAATTTATCTCTAGACCATATTAAAGAGCTTAAAAAAACAAATAATTTAGTATATCAAAGTGTTTTTGTACGGTTATTGGTAACGGAGAAAATTCAAAAAATTGTAAATTAAAAATTCCCATGTTATTCTTATGGAGAATATTGAAAATGTTGTAGTTTGTTTGTTTGTGGATATATTTAGATCAAACTGGGAACATTTATTTATTTTATACTAAGCTATTAATATTTTACTAAAACACACTTTATTAGTTTTAGTTTCCTTGTGGCAGCAAACCTAGGTACTCGTTAAACCTAAATAGATTCAATTGAAAATCATTCAGAGAAATGGAAATTCGCTTAGTCGGCAGGTTTGCTGCGGCGGGGGTATTTTATATTACAAGTCCGTATTAAGTCTTTAGATATAGTACAAAAAATCCTTGGGTATGAGTTGTGAATGATTTTACTTGAGCTGGCTTGAGTCCATAATTAACTCGGACTCAAAATATCACTAATTTTCTGAGCCAGGTGATGGCCGAGTTATCCAGACTGCCGGGTTATCGAGTGCCGAGTTTGCGGGACTCTACTGTATTATAATCTATTTGTAAATTAATGATTAGGTGTTTGAAAAATTGAAGTTCACCAGCCATGGACAGCTTTCAACAAAATAGTTGACAAAGAATGATAAATGTGACATTTTTTTTACAAAGCAAACTGGCATGACAAGCTGGTGGATTTTTGGTTTTTGTATGTACATCAAAAATATTCTCCCTTAAAGATAATGAAGTACATTGAATGACTAAATGTTATTGATGAAGCCAATTCATTCAACTTAACAGCTGAGGAGTTTATTTTTTATCCAGAAAATATACGAATCTGACCATTCATTAGATAGAACCGAGTGAGCAACAGTTAACTTGTGTTAAAACCAGCATCAGCAATCTTACATTACTTTCTCCCATTAGCTTGTCAACTATAGTTCCGTCCGTTTGGCTATGATACCCAGTGGATTAGGAACCTTCTCGGAACTCAACTCACCCCTCCGACCCGCTGGCCTGTGATAAAAAGTTTACCTACCTACTGTCACAGTCTCGCAGATCTGTAACTTTTTTATTTTATATTAACATAAATTGTTCTTTATTTGAGTTCTACATGAAATTCAAAAAATAATGGGTCCAAACACGTTGTGGATACTTAATAACTAATTAACTACGATATGTACGTACCTAGTACAATTACTCTGTATCGTCACCAGCTTTGTCCGACTTTCAGATAGTAGATATTAAGTATCCGCATCGTGTTTGGACTCATTTTTGGAATTTCATGTAGAAATCAAATATATAAAGAACAATTTATTTTAACTTAAAATAAAAAAAAGTTACAAATCTGTGGGACTGTGACAGTGGGTGAGTCATTGTTTGTCTCCGGCCAGCCCGACGAGCGTGAGTTGAGTTCTGAGATGGTTCCTAATAAGCTGGGTATCATAGCCAAACGTATGGTCTATACCCTTATCATGGGTAAGCGGTGGGAGTAACTATGGTATTTTAAGGGGAAAATTACAAAAGTTGCAATAACATTTGAATCATAATTGTTTACAGCAATGGGGTTGTACAATTTGATTTGTAGTTACAAGGTTCAACACACAACATTTTCATAAAATTCTTTGAACCATTTTCGTGACTTATCTTGAGGGAAAATCCCCATTTCAAATCAAAATGTCTAAATAAGTGATAAAAATCACCTGGACATATCGTGGATTAGTACAGAAATACCAAATTGCATCAAAATTGAAACACAGGTACAGATGAAATTTTGTAAGGTGGCCTGCGGGTGTTGTTGAGACTTTTTACGGAGTTGCGTACACTATTTTACCTATGACAGTGTTTTATTTATTTATTCCAACAGACATCTCCATTTTACAAATATACAAATCAAATAGTACAAAACTCAGGATGGCTAATATTGTTAACATTTACAAGATAAAAAAAAACACAACATTGAATGAATTTGAAATACGTACATGTGTAAATAAAAGTTAAACTACTTAGCTTATTAACAGTTATTACTAGTTTTATACAGAAGTAGTATTTTTTACTTATTAGTCGTGTTTTAATTACTAACAATCACTACTCATAGCTTCTAAGAGAGTTTATGTTTTGTTTATAACCTCTCCTCATTGCCACTGACAGTGATGCAATGAAACATTGTACTAAACATTATTATAATTGCATGAAACAATTAAATTGGCCTGAACAGCTGATTAGTTGAAGTTCGAATTATTCAATTTTACTTCTTTTCTCTCAATCCTTGAAGCTCATTGGTACTTACCTGTGTTGATAAGTAGAAAAAAACAATGCTGTTAAGTTAAACTTTTCAATTCTAAGAACTGAACTGAAATGGCTAGTTTAAAAAACGGTCGTAGTTAAATTATTTACCTACAGTTGAACCTCGTTTGTACGAACCTCGATAAAACTAATTCCTTGATAAGACGATTTTTTTTAGTCCCCTTGACACTTTCATATAGGTCAATGCTAAAAACACCTCTATACAACGCAGTAATTAAGTTAAAAACCTCCATAAGACGAATTTGTGGAACTGATTAACCTCTATACAATGAATATTCTTAGCACAAAACCTATACAAGACGAGCGTGACCTCTATAAGACGAATTTATCATAATCTTAACCACTATAGTACGTGGTTTTCAAAACAAACAGAAGCTTGTCTCAACGTGAAACCCCCACCCATCCCTCCTCCTTCCTCAGTCATTGTTTGGAGAAACCTCTATAAGAAGAATAACAGCAGCATTAAACCTTGATAAAACGACCCTCTTTATTAAGAATACCTCTATAGTAACAATTTTTTGCGTACCCCTTGAAATTCGTCTTAAAAGGTTCAACTGTACGACCGTTTTTTAAAGTAGCCGTTTCAGTTCTTAGGATTGAAAAGTTTTACATAACAGCATTGTTTACTTTCATAACAGCATAGTTTTACTCATAACAACACAGGTACGGACCAATGAGGTAATCAGCTGTTCAGGCCATTTTAATTGTTGAGTGGTTCCATTAGTGCTTGGTACAATGTCTCATTGCACCACTCTCAGTGGCAATGAGAGGTTAAAAATGAAAACATAACCTCTCTTAGAAGTTAAGAGTAGTGATTTTTAGTAATTAAAACACTGTCGCAACTCGCGTAAATATTTTTGCTACGAGACCGTACCGACAGACTGACACCGCCCTCCACCGCGCGGTGCAGAAGCATCATACCGTGCATAGCCGAACTGTTCGTGGGAAATTGTTATCTCTATCACTGTTGCTGTCAAAACGTTTCGTTTGTAGGTTAAATTTAAAATTATTTAACTGTCATAACATAACCAAACTTGCTGATAATGAAAATATCGAATGAAGGCTTACTAATAACAAAAATAGTTCTGTTCATAAAATAAAATTATTAATGTCTCAAAATCAATTATATCATTTTTTAATTATAAAATTAAACTATCATAACCTAACCAAACCAACCAAACTTGCAGATAGGTAATGAAAAAACCAAGTCAAAAAGTTTATGCCTCCGGTGGGTTTCGAACTGGCTACCTCTGAATTATTAGACCGGTGCGCTATTCACTAGACCTCTGAGACCTACGGCTGATCAACCTATTGTTGCGGTAATGGTGTTCGCTTGAGCAGTGGTGGGTGGTGGTGGGCGGTGGCGGTCTGTCGGCAAGGGTTTCTGTTTTTCTGGATACAGGTCATAAAACCTTACACGATACATCTAATAGGTATACTCAATGCATGATGTGTGCTGAGGTAAGAAAACATATGACAAACAATATTAAACTTTTATTAAATTCATAACTTACATCATTGTACAAAAATATATACCTCATATCATTACAGTAGTCGTACAAGTTTGGCCTACACCAACGTCTGCATAACAAACTAAGCACAAAAGAGCTTGGTATTAAGCTGCCTATCGATACAATGTTCAATACACAAGACTTTGTATCGGCATTAAAAATTTAGCATTTATAAAACTGAATTTTTTAACTAGACTACCTATATGTGAAAAGTTGAGTAATGAAAGGTACAAATTCATTTAACATTCGTACTAAAAGATAAAAGGCTTATACACACGGCTCTCATGCTTTAAAGTCATATTGACTACACCACAAGTCTACTAGAGCTGAACACAATGAATATTTAAGGTATTAATTTTTAAAGCCATTGGTGTTGCTTAGGTTATACGTATGAAATTTGACTAACAAATAAAAAATGCACAGGACACCATGGCTTAGCTTAGAACCGATACCTTCGATAAAAATATCACAAACATTAATATTTAAGAACAACATATCAAAACACTCGAGCGTACATATTCAATTACGAGTGAACAGGAAAGAACACAGTCAAAAACACACTGGGTGTGTATCAAGGCAAACCATAATAAGGTCCGACAAAAAATTATGGTCCATAGTTGAGCGAAACACAAAATCAACAAAAGAAGGAAAAACAGCGAATGAAGAAGCAGACTTGAAGGAATTAGTGTTTTCTGCGGTTGGCTACCAATCTGGATATGAAGATGACGAGGATAGGCCAAGCTATCAAGAAGGCTGTGGTGTGGAGAGGCAAACCCCACCAACGAGGCAGAACGTAACTGGACCTTACACTGGCCTGGAACAAAAAACAACTCATTGTTGAAATACAGAAACAGCTGACTAGTTTTGGCGCTTCATTGCTCTATTTTCAAATCTGATTGTCAAAACTAACATCTTGTTCAAAACAGCTTATGGTGATAAGAATTGTATCAATTGATTGGCTCAAATCCCTTGTCCTTTGATTGATTAAAGGGACAGCACACACATTTTGAATAAAAAACTCAATTACAAATCCCATTATATTTTCAACTTTCCCCTCCGCTACTACAATAGTCCGATATCAGCTATTGACAGCACAGCTTACAATCCAGTGTCTTCATCAGTCCGTCATAGCCTAGTCCAGTCTGCTTCCAGTACTACCACTTTATATTTAAAATAATAAATTATTGTATCCAATACTAATTATCTTTTTTCCAATAGGACAAAATATTAAAAACACAATGACAAAATTTATCCCCGTATCAGCACGATAATTTGCTAGACAATAGCTGGTTGCCTGACTTCTAAAAAAATAATGCAATGGCTTACACAATTCCAGAAATAGTACAATAATTTTATGTCAGCGACAATCGCCATTTGCCTGCATTTGATTTGTCTCTTTGCAAAATCTCTGCATTTTCATATGATGGAACACGCTTTGGAATTGTGTTTTAGTATTGGTAACTTTTTGCAGAAAATTTGAGTGTCCGAATTTCGTCTATCAAATCTTGAATTCAAATTTATCCAACCACTGTCGAGTATCAGTATCGGCATCTACTCTTGATTGGTTTTGGATGCCGATACCTTATCAGTAGTATCAAGAGCAGACACACCTCTTGTATACATATAATGTGTGGATTACATATATACCAATTATTTTTTTCCTAACTTCTTGTTGTTAGGTAGTTGGGACATGGATCCAGTTACAAGGTTGTCTAAGAATGTTTACCTCTTGCTGTCTCCTGGTTTCCAGAGTTGCCATACGCCTTTGCAGGTTCTCCACCTCTTTCGTCATATTTTCAATCGCCCTTCTAAACGCCTCAGAGGTCACAGTTGCACCTTAAACATGGACAAAATTTGAGATCAAGTGAAACATAAGGATTGTGAAAATGGTATTGTACATCACAGATGGAAAATGGGGTTTATATTGGCTAACAGACAACTGATAGAAAATAGTATCTTCATTGGTTGAAACAGGATTTATGGGAAATTATTTCTGTTTCTAGATTGGTTTAAAATAAAATGTATTTTCTGATATGTTTAAACTCTTGCGTACAGCTGAATCTTTGTACGTATCTGAATCCAACTAAGCTCAACTGTACAAAATTTAAGCTTTAAATTAAATTTAACAAAGGTTTTCAGTGGTCCCTATTGCATACACACTTTAGAGTATTTGATCTGACTAATAAAAAGTAAGTAAAGATCAGCAATGTAGTTATTCTACGCACTAATAACAATAGGTACCACTGAACTGGGCTGGAAATCAGAATCAGAAAGATTCAAGACGTCAAAAGACATACTGTTAATTTACTAAAATAAATCGTATCTGATTAAAAATGGTGTCCTAAATTAGTAGAAAAAACTAAACTAATAGAAAATAAAGGGGAAATAAGTATCACCATAGTCTTTATGGTACAACGAGGACCACTATACTTTTTTTTGTCATGGTCCACAGAAGCCAAAACCACAGTTCCTAAAAAATCCCAGATTTGTTCACAATTTTGGTCATTCCTGTTGTCATTATGACACTATGTTTCCTTTGATTTTTGCAGTACATCATCAACAACTGATCCCGACATACCCGACGAAACTGAATAAAATGGTCTACCAATACTGATCGGAATGGTATGACTAAGCTTTCATGTCGAGAGATGATTGTTTTTGTATGTTACAGTAGACCCCCTCTTAACCGACCCTAATGGGACCGGACCTAGGTCGGATAACTCAAAAGGTCGGATAAAACGGACAATCCCTAAAATCATAACATAATGAAGTGCTATTCATTTGGAATTATATAATCATTATTTTGAAATCATACTTGTATTATTTATAAAATAAACTACAGTACTCTTATCTCCTTTTTCGTATTAATAGAAAAGTCACAAATAAACACAAAACACGGTCAAGTCAAATAGGCCTACTTTCAGTGGAATATATTATAATACTAGGCAAGAGTCAATAAAATTCCTATTTTAATAACTTAAGTACTGTAATTTTTTAATTGATGCTTTCCAAATCCATCGTAATACAGTACAGAACCTTTTGTCAAAATTAAAGATACAAGCAACCATTTTGTTACAAGACAGGACGTTTATTTATAGCCTCTCACTGGAGGCTCGAGGCACAAAAACTATCTTGACCTTGGTTGTTAACCCCCCTTCCCTGCCCTTCCTACAAGTTGCGTTGTTTGTTTACTCCAGCGATAAGATAATCAGTTCTCAAAATCCTAATGCACTTTATGATGTTATAAATTTGCCGCACAGATAGCATACCGATCAGATGCGCTAGAGCTACGAACGATGATGACAAACTGACAATAGGCTGTGCTATATTTTTTGTGATCAACACAAAATAACTTATTCTTAGTCATATCCTGTAGAGGTAAGCATGGTTCAGTTCTCATCGCCCAGTGTGGGAGCGGAAATGCCGAGATTCCTAGAAAGCGGCGGTTAAACCGAGCTGCTCTCAAAAAAGGTCGGTTAAAACGAACTGTATTATTTTACGATCGAAGGCGGATAATCCGATTGTCGGTTAATACGAGGTCGGTTAAGAGGGGGTCTACTGTACATTCGTATTTGAAAAAATGTCATATCAAAAAAGTTGTTAGGTTGAGGTTGCAATGCAAACATGTATCCAACTCAGCACTCAATGTGTATTAAAATTCAAATTATAAAAATTAATTATTTGGCACAAGATTGTATCACATCAGATCGTCCAATCGCAATAAAGACATCTCATTGGTCTACACTTGCCCTCCTGTACTCCAACCTTACCTTGAGACTCCCACTTAACCATCATGAAGCCGGTCAGTTTTTGAAGTTATTAAGTTGCTATTATTTACCACACCCCAGATAAGATACATAGCACCTTACTCATTACCGGTGTCTTGAGCACTTGAAGTGTTACAAAAAAATGTATTGTCACTACCATCACCATCGATCAAGTTAAACTGATCTCTTTTACTGATGTTGTGTAAGTAATCTCTTCTATTGTTATACTTACCAAGCCAATTTAAATAAATTTAGAAAAAAATAAACAGTGAATGCTTCGAAAACACTCAACACCTCAACTCACAATGAGTGTATCAATATTTTTTGCTCTGAGTGCGTACTAGGCAAGGACCATATAAAAACTGTTTCGCACAGGTGAATGATTGGCGACTCTGCCCATATTGATGCTTCAATCAAAGCTCAAACCTGAATATCGATTGCGAACCAAGATATTAGTGATTCACCAGAAATCGCCCTATCTGAAACGTCCCAGAATGTCTATACGGACCTACGCCAAATCACAGAGAGGCAGTTAGCTGTACTCGTCTATCAAAATATTGCTTTTATGTACAATTGAGTTACATTATATTATGTTTAGACATATATATTGACTGACCAGAAAGAAGTTTCTCCCCACCGCTTGACAAATTAACTCCTTGAGCTTCACCATTGGCGGCCAGCATTGGCTGAAACAGGAATGAATCAGAATCAAGTAATTTTTGTGGAGAATATTTATGCATTGGATCAGCAAGCAAAACTGCTCACAGCATTTATTTATTTTATAAAAATTAAAAATTGGTGTAAATACCTGCTTCTTAATTATCCAAATTTTTGCAATGACGCAACTAGTTTAGACTTCATGAAGGGGATTCATCAGGTGTCCAGGGGATGTCAAATAACTTCATCAGAAGGTCGTCGATACACATATTGTGCATTTATACGTGAGCATGGACATGGACACGAGCAGGAACATAGATACGATTCACACATCGTATCTAGGTTCATGTTCGTGTTTGTGTATGTATAATATGTAAATCAACAACCTTCTTATGAAGTGATTTTGAGATCCTATGGACCCCTGATGATGACTTCGTGAAGTCAAAACTAGTTGCGTCAAAGCAAAAATTTAGATTACTAAAAAGCAGGTATTTTCACCAATTTTTATATATTCAATGTAATGTGGAGGCTAACATCAAAAATGAGATATATTGATTTTAATTCATTCACTTTACCATTTTAAATGTATGCTGCGATTTAAACTTATGAATTATTCTTGAGAAATAAGTTTATACTTGCAGCATATGTTAGTTCATTAAACACCTAAACTTGTTCAACAATTTTTTCTCAGAGATACACTAAATAAAAACAGCGTTTAGGCCCTGCAAACATGAGGACGTTAGACGCCATGTTTTAGCAATGTGAAACCGTACACATGACAGCACGTTAGTTGAACCAGTCTACTACTCCAGTGCGACTATGGAGCTAGAATGGTTAACATGTTGATATACCGTAGATACAAAGCAAAGCGAAGAAGACAAAGAAGATGGTGGGTACATCCTGTGATAGATTATAGATTAACCATGGGTTCAATTGTGACGCTGTACCCAAAATTGAGAGAACACCCCAACAAGTTTTCAACAACTTTACTTTCATATGAGTACAGTAAAACATCATTGTATATGTTTCAGCGTCCATTGTATTCACAATACACACATAGATAACAAAACACAAAGATGACTTCACATCAGAACTGGCCAAAAGCACACGCTCGACTGATACATGAGTACGATCCAATGCTCAGTCTAGTAACTTGAAGCGCGCTACAATCGTAGCAGATCCAATGAAAACTACAAGTGTCGCGTTTTGGTGATGTTAGCACAAATCACACGTTTGGATGTGAACGATTCCATTTGTTCCTAGGTTCTTGGCTAACGTGTGTTTGACAAACGCCCTCATTTGTACAAGCTGTTAGAAACGACTCAATGAGCTAAAAATAATGCGGCCAATTCTTGATCTATTCTATATCCTTCCACAATTTGTAATATTAATTAACATGATATTTAGTATAGTAGACTCCTTGTTTGAAATTGCGGTCTCACACAGTTGCAAACAGACACCAATTTGTCCAGATGAAATCAAATCTTGTTGATTTCCATTCGATACATAACATACAGAACAATAGAATACGAGTTTCATAAATTGACATTGTACGATAATTGTCAGTAAATTAAGGTCTCTATCTAGCTCCTGTCACAGCCTAAATAAAAGCAAGTTAGCTCAAATCTGAGACCAACATTAAGTTCCTTATTTCATCCACTACTATTTATAGCTGGTTCCAACCCCTATTAGTCTTGTCATAGTATTAAGAAACGTAGTATAATAAAGTTAATGCTGCCGCTAAGTACGAATCCTGTTTTGTGATAAGGTTTTTTTTAAGAAAGTGGGTTAATTCATTTTTCCTACAGTCATCTGACAAAGTGGGCTTTCTTGCACTCATTATAGCCCAGAAAGTTGCTAATTTCTGCATTTACTTACTTTTGCTGCACTCTTTTTACTTTTACCGCACTCCAGTATTCCAACCAAACAACACAAAACAGTTTACTTTTATTAGGCACGTAATTTGAAAATAAGTTGGCAGTACTTAAAGATACTACGACTATGATCAGCTGATGCAGTGTTTATCATTTCGTTCGGCACTTGGATTTAGCCTAACCTAAAAACGTGTTGTATAGTGTTTGAAAGACTAAGTATTTCTATGCTTTATAGTAACCGTAGGAAAAATGTAATGTGTAACATGAGTGTAAATTGCCTTTGCTGCACTTGAGAAACTTTCCACACTCGCCTGTGGCTTGTGCGTAAAAATTTCTCTCTTAAGCAGAAAAGTGACACTTTGCTCACTAATTACACAAATAACTATTGATTACTGTTTCAAGTTTCCAGTTAACAGATATGTATGCAGAAAAGTCTTTTGAAGTAAAATGAAAATGTGCATGAATGGCTCAGATAGGCACAACAAGGCCGGCAGCGGATGTTCATGAGTTTCTGTTGAGATAGTGATTGAATTTTACGAACCATTGCTTGCTGATCGGTGTGCAATAGAGACACATGGAAGCTTCAACCATAGATAAAACATACTCCCTTGGTAGATTCCCCATCCTAATGGAACAGCTGAAGCCAATTTTATTGTTAGTTTTGTCCGGTGTACTGTCCGGTAGATGTTGTGTTTTGTTTACACTTTGTTTCTATTATGTTAGGGTTAGTTTCTCATGATTTGTGCCTCACTGTTTGGTTATATAGCTAGTGGACAAGTTATTGTCTATGATTAGATAGTTTTATTTGGTTAAACAAGGTTTTAGTTTACTGAAATAGCAAGAAACTAATCAAAACACGACTCTACAGAACACCGGACAGAAATAACAGTAAAATTTGCTTCAGCTGTTCCATAAGGATGGGAAATCTACTAAAGGGAGTATGTTTTTCTAAGCTTCACACTTCACATAGACTTCAATAGCGGTTGACAACTGAGACCACATAAATAATACTAGGAGAAGACTAATTGTCCCATAGACTATGGAAATACCATTCAACCATAAAACCGTCTAGAATGGTGGTAGACAAAGTAAGGAACAAAATGTTGGTCTCAGATTTGAAGTGGCTTATTTGGCTAAAACAGGAGCTCAAAAGATTTATCATTAGAATAATAATTGATTGCTGACACTATTCAATTATTGTTCTTGGATGAATAAAGAAGATTGTCTATTGTCTAATGGAGACCTTAGTTAATGGACAATCCTTGTAGCTCGAGACTATGAAGTTATTGTAAACTGTAAGTGCTACAACAACTGGTAACTTTAGAGTCTACGATAGGCAACATAGGTTTGATTTTTGTTTTCTTCTACTGAATTTATGTTAATTACATTTTACAATGAGTGAACTTGAAAAACAAAGAAGCAACATTCTGTTTGTACATTTCTGTTTAGCTGTTATTGCTCAATTCCTTTATTGTATTGTATGATATAGTAATTTTGCTCATAAATAATGCGTATGTTTAAAAAGTATCGATCTACTTCTGATAGTTTTGACAAGGTCTGGTTCTAAATGTTAATCAAAGGTAGGAATTTTTTCATAAAGCAACCCAGTACATACCTTATTCACCAGTGAGGACTCGACAGAATGCAGACGATTCTTGATTTGTTCCATATCTTTCCTGATGACAGTAAGGCTGTTCTGAGGTAGTTCTCCACTCGCTTTAGAAACTAAATAAAAACAAATGCAAATAGTTTAGGCAAGCTTGTAATGATGGGTGGTAAAAATGAATATAAAAATAAATTACAGAACACGGTAGCGCCTTGGGCTAATAAGCCGAGCATTGCTGGTTCGAGACCTGTCACCTGTACTATCTATCACTGGTTTGCCTATATGACTTGCCTACTTAGCTGTCTTTAGGTCACCACATAGACATGCAGGGCAGTTGAGGTTAAATTAAAAATATACATATAAAGGATAAAAATCACGTAAGGAGTCCACTATTGATTTCAGACAAGCCTATAGTGATAAAATAAAAATTTTAGTATTGTGAGAATAAATTAAAAAGTGTGTTGCACTGCTTTAATAAAACTTGGCCTTATGTTAAGGTGTTATGACCGTGAGTAGACTGGCCCAATAGAGGAAGATTATATATATAAGGGCTATATAAAGGAAGTATTTTAATTGACGAGACACTAGTTACTACTACAAGCTGCTATATAATTAATGTTTTTCTTTGAGTCAATAAATAGTTTGATTTTAATATAAAATAAGTCTTTGCAATATTTATCTGGATGAACTTTAGCTAGTCTAATTGCCCCTTTATAGAAGAGTTGACACTTTCTTCACAAGACGATCCCAATAGAATGTCTGTAATTCATAACTAAAGCAAAATTAGCATAATATACTGATATTAGTGTATCCAAATTTACAATTTGTTGTATCTCTAACTACTTCTAGGTGTAGAACACCATAGAATAGTTTGTATTGTTGTAAATAAACTGAAATAATTAAAAATCAATGTCTTCAACATTTTAACAGAACATTGTAGGCCAAACTGAATAGGTGGTAGTGTAGCTGGCTCTCAAGGCACTGTAATATTTTATTCATATTGAAGCCTTCCGAAATTGGTAATCAATTCTAACAGGTTACGTACCTTTGTTTTTGCCAACGAAAAATCTCTGACTCATTAACGAGTAATTTTTGGAGTATTAAAAATCACCTACTCTAAATTTTAATATAGGGAATTTTATAAAATAAGCTATTCTCCATTCATAAACATTTTCATGTTCCTCTTAATGAGGTAAAGAAATCAATATTTATTCAAAATACTCATCACAAAACTCGTGCGAGCAACCTGAGATGCCTCCGCACCGCGGTCCGAACTACGAAAAATGTCTTTAGTCAGTCTAGTAGCAGAATAGGACGACGACGTCAACTTCCCCTCTCGTGCTCGGCTCCCCACTTGCCACTACAGCCCCTCACACCCAGGCTTCATGAAGAAACGCACGAATATTCTACTATAATAACAATGACAGTGGACCAAACTTGTTGCTATTTTAACAGTACAAACACAAACCTTGAAGACTCCGAGCAGTTGACTTTTCCACAGTGACATGATCTACGGAGTGAGAACTGTTACTACGAGGTTTCTTGAGGTTATTCTCTTTGACCCTGTCTGGTTCTGTTTGCTGAAATAGAACAAGGATTCAAAATACTACAGATATAATACATGAGGGCCATCTTGAAAACAACACACTTTATGGCCTGACATGGTAGAGCGTAACATCTTGACTTCAGAAATCAAATCAAATCAAAAATCACTTTATTCAGCTTTATAAATACAGGAATACATTATTAGTGGTAAGAATAGTATTCCCCCGAATGGACTGCAAGTCCGTGCTCGAGGGAAGAGCTCTTACCAGCAGGAAATATGTTTTGGTTACTGTCCATAGGTCTAAAACATGTGCACACTGTTTATAAATAATGTGTACATCTATATTTAAAAACATATCAGGAGCTCTTAATAAATATATATATATATATATATATATATATATGCTATATAAATATATTGTATACTAGAATTAGTTAACAATAAACAGCCTTAACCTTCCGAGTGTTATTTGTCGCTGCAGCGACACATAACACACTTTGTGTAGTGTTTTGTGTCGCTGCAGCGACTCACAAACACTGTTTACGGCGAAGGCTCTATGACTGACAAAATCGGATTGAACTGGATCGAGTTAGGTATCGTTTTATTTTACAGATTCAGAGCTTTCTCCAGAGGTCTGTCTCTAAGCGCTTTTCATTTTAGTTCCGAAAATATTGTAGCAGACAGCTGACGTGCGTATTTGTAAACAGCTTGGTTAACCTTGAACCAATGACTGATGTGTTTTATTACGTTTATCATTGTTTTAGTGTTAAAAATCAAAAGTAGTGATATGAGTGAAAATTTAAAAACGTACGTTTTCATGTCCCTGGCCTTTTACTTCGTAGATACTGGATTTGTAGTTTATTATTATGTGTTTTAATTTTTTTTGGGACGGGGGCAACATGTTACACACATTTATTTGGTTTTAAATAGGTTCTAGGTATTTTTTTCGTATTTTTAAAGTCTCGAAATTCACGACCATGACGTGTCCCTAGGGTACATTTTCCAACTTTCACACTGTTTTTAGACTAATTATTCATGCCGAAATATATAAAACCATATTTTTATGTCATCAATGGTTATTAAACGTACAAAAAAGGAGCATATTATAATTTTATTGTCATTACAAACTGACTACCATGACAAAATAAGTCTGTCCCTCGATTTGGCGTCACGACCATTTGGGAAAAATTTTCAACTTTGGAGCACGACAGTGGCAAGCCTGGCGTCGATGGAGTCAGTTGGTTTTAGAGACTAGTTCGGGGTGTACGTCAGGATTGTAGTGCCGGTCGTTTCGAGTTGAAAGGAGGAATTACAAGATTAATAAAGGAAAGATTGTGTTTTTTGTAATTTTGGTGTGTCCATGACCGTACGTAGTCATTCGATGAAGTAGACATGGTGTTAATTTTTGTTTATAAGATATTTCAATTGCTAGATTAACGTAGAAGTCCACTTTGTATCCTCGAACATGAGGTGCAGGGCTACCGCCAGAACAGAGCCAAATAACACGTAATTTCACGACCAAAGTTTCACGACCATCGCGGGTTTTTTCACGACCAATCCAACATTATAGATTATAGTGTGTTTGGTCGTGACAATAACTTTAATATAATTGTAAATTGAACAGTTTAGTTCAATTGAAACACATATTTTTATTATAATAATTGTGATAATTGAAGGATTGTTTAAAAAAGTTTAGATTATTCCAGACAATTCACGACCGTACCGCTTGTCCCTGACCATCACGTTTATGATTTCTATCATAAAAATTTCAAAAATTAAAATATCGTCATATTTCAATGTTTTATACACAAAAGAAGCACACCTCTATACAAACATAACGATTTTTCGGGTCTCAGGTAAGTTTCTTCGGAGTTATACAAACTTAAAAAGATTTTATTGGCTTTTTTCAATTTTTTGAGTTTTTTTTATTTTTTTCTAGAAAGACCAAATATACCAAAAGCTCAGTGACCTTTTTATTGTATAATGGTCATAAAAGTAAATTAGTTTATAGCAAAACATAGTTATAAAAATAATATTAACTATTTTTAATATTCATTTAAACGTCCGTTATGGTCGTGACAGGATTTTGTGTTTTTCAACTAAAGATGCTCTTTCAAAAAGAAACTACCAAAGAAATTGCGTTACCATGGACATTTTATGAAACTTCAAATGTTAATGAAATAAAAAAAATAATAAAAGTTTTGAAAAAAGGGGAAAATAATTTGCAAAGTGCTTTTCCTGAAAACGTACGTTTTTAAATTTTCACTCATATACGTGGTGCATTATAAGAAGATTTAAGTGATTTTGAATGGCTGGTTGATGATCTTGAAGAAGTAGGTAGTGATATTGATGTAAATTATCAGTCAGATTCCTAGCTATGGTTAGGCTATGCATTCTTAGCTAAACGCTATGTACTGAAATCTGTTTTTTGCCCATAACTTATTTATTTGCAAATCTACTTCCTTATATTATTATATATTTGTAATCCTCATAAAATTTAGAACAAAGTGGCTATTTTCAAATATTTATAGGCCTATAATTTATACAATTTCACTGAGCGCAAACTTATTTTTTTTTTGAAAATTTTCCAAAATATTTTTTTTACCTCAAAAATTTTTTTGAAACAAATGTTCCTTATGTTTTATGTATAATATTGAAGCCCATGATTTTCCAAACAAAATGGTATATAGAACAGTATAATTAACATTGTTTTCAAGCTTCTCAGATACGTTTTAATGAAGCCTTGCAAATGAGCAAAAAATAGGCAGACATTAAGGCCAAAACAAGGGACACTCGGAGGGTTAAGCTACAATAAAAATATTAATCTATGAAGAAAAATGTATTTTGATAGCTGTTATGGCGGTGTTTGATGTCAGAGATTAATTTAAATGTAAGGCGAGCGAATTAAAGCCTCTGCAACCTCTCGTCCCACAGTCATCAGCTACTCACAGACCTTGCTTTTATACACAGTAACACTGCCTGATTCAGCATCAGTTATGTTGGGCGGCAAGTTGCGATAAAGGATGTGAGCTATGTAAAACACGTTATTTTTCAACGAACTATAGGCTAGTTGTGGAGTGCGGTATCCAAATTTATGCCTGTGTCTAGTGTGATAACTGTGTTGTAAGTTCCCTTGTAAGTGATAAGTTGTAAGTGATAACTTTGTTGTTCTTAATGAAAAGTAATAGTGTTTTGATAAACAATTGTCTAATATTTAAAACTGGGAATTCGGAAAAAAGTAAATTTGTTGAATAATGTTTCGGCCTTTTAAGAATAATTTTGATTAAGGTTTTCTGGGTTACGTGAAGAGGAGCCAATGTGGCAGCAGATACACCGCCCCATGCCAGTACGCCATACTGCAGCACAGACTGCACGTATGCATAGTAAACGTATCTGCAGTGATCAACCGTTAACACACGACTTAGTTGATAAAAGGCGTAGACCAGTTTCCTCAATCTTTGCTTTACATAGATAATATGAAGAGACCATGTCATCCTTTGATCGATGATCACCCCAAGGTACTTGTATTGGTCCACACGATCGACTGTGTCACATCCGCAGGTATTAGACCACAGATCACCACATGAATGAAGATAAAGTTTTCTAGGGCTAGGGTCACGAGTTCGAGATAAGAAAACTGGCATGCACTTGGTTTTTGATACATTTAATGTCAATGTGTTATATGATCCAGCCAATTTTTTATTTTAAGTAAGTCAGATGCAGCTTGATGGTAGACATCGTCCCACGTATTACCCGAGGACACTACCGCTGTGTCGTCAGCAAAAAGAAACAATTTACCATCGACTCTTAATTTAGTAATGTTATTGATATATATTAAAAAGAGAAGAGGGCCTAGGTTACTTCCTTGGATGACACCATAGTCAATGTTAGTGATATCACTATTTTCGCCATTGATAGTAACGAACTTAATTTATGCCTATCAATAGAATCAAATGCTTTGGCCAAGTCTAAAAAGGTTTTTATATGTAGAGTAACTCACAGTGTCGAGGAAGTGGTCGTCTTCATCGTCCGTGTCGGGAGGCAGAGGACTGGCTGAGTAGCTGCTGGACGGGCTGGTCTCCAGACTGCTGGTGATGTGTTTGTTGGATGTCAGTCTCAGTGGTGATGTGTCTCGCGACATTATTGCAGTTCTGCTCGGTGATGTATCTCGTGATGCTGTGTACATCACAAAGAGTTAGATGATAGACTGGTAACTCCTCAGCTGTAAGACTTCAGTTAGGGACGTGGTTTGAACCCAAAACCTCTGTCACAGAGGCAAGGATTCTAATCCAATCAATTACCAATGGAAATGGAAATGTTCTATGTGATAATCGACGACCCATTAATATTGAGCAAACCCTAGACTATAGGTCCGCCTATTGAGTAAATCATAAATAGGAGAAATAAGTAGTAATGGGATTTCAGAATTGCTCCATTCTGATTCCAAAACTTAGGTTTCGATTCTTAATTCCGCACTTGATACCAATTCTGTGACAGATGAACTAATATTAAGTTACCTCAATGACAAAGAGTGATTTTTTTTAATGTTAGCCATTGGTTTACGTTGAGTGACAGAAATTGTGACTATTGGATTACTAGAAGCAGGTATTTAAACCAATTTATAACGAATTAATAATAATACAACTTATAAGATTTTAAAAAATAAACCAAATCATACATTTTTTTGTTTTTTATTCAAACATGTTTGATTACGAAATTATAGCCAGACACAGTCTACATAAAGTCATACATTCGTTTGATAATCCATTCAAAGTACTCTGGCTTACATCGCATCTGCTCATATAGTGTGGCATTGATCTAAATCTATTGTAATTTGGCTTGTCTCATTTGTTATACCGGTACTCTTTGACTCAAGAAGACCTACTTTGACTACAATTAAATAGTTAATTATTATAGGCAGTAGCAAATCCCAGAGCTGTACCTCACTGACTTTTTCTGTGCACTTTAGACACCAAAATTTAACCTGATTTTCTAGAAATTGGTATCGAGAATTCGAATTCGCCCACTTCTAGAGATAAATTAGGTGAGGAGAAATGTCCTGGCATTGAAGATCTTCCTTCACAAAGTCAAGTGAAAATTGTATTTAAACTCATATTGTGTAATATATAGTGTATACTCGGATTCAACTTTTTTTAGAGGAAATTTTAAATCCTGATTCATAGAAAGTAACCGACTGCTACAATTTTACCCTGTAACAAAATTTTACTGATTTCAAACTGCAAGCTCGCTACTGACTATTGTACAACAGCTACTCTTAGCCGACTATTGAGACCACATTTGTACTACCTTTCACTAATCTCAAGGCAACATAAGTTTCATACTTCAAAAATTAAAGTAATGGCTGCAACAGCAATGCAACTCAATTTCTTACATCTGAGATATAGAATCAAAATTCTTACGTACTAATAGGAGGTCTAGAAATATGTATTTTGAGAATTAGGTTCATGAAATTGATGACACTTTTAACACAGAACGTCATGACCAAGATTAAGATTCTTCATTGACATATCGACAGATTCTACAAATATCGAATCTGAACAGATTGAGGAATGGTCTTAAGAACTGTAAAAAGGAAATGTTTTGAATATGAGGGAAGAAGTGTATTTCCAGAGCTTAAATAAAAAAAAAAAATAAGACTTAACGAATTCATGAACAAGTGAATTTTAGCACAAGTGGTTCTTGAAAAAACTTCTTTATTAAACTTCCAGTAGGCAACTGTAGTTCAATGGGGCTGCACGATGGCTGGCCGCGGCCGGTGGCGCAGACATCTAATTAAGCAAAACTTTGAGGCTACGTTCCTTCCACAATGCTACGGTACATTCATTAACGTTATTCTATTGCATGTCATTAGATCCAAGCCTTTCCCAAGCTAGAATAAATTTGTAACCGTCCCTACCACCAATAAAATAGTCGGATCAGAAAACGAACTATACCAGATTGAAGTATAACACTGGCACAATAAATGGCAAGCGAAACAACGTCTTACGGCAATGGCTCACCTCGCATTGGAAAAATAGTTTGTAAACGGCGTTTTGACAAGTATACTCATCGCCCGTCACTGGAAAGCGTTAGTGGTGACGAGATTACTCGCCATGCACAGTGAACGTGTTAAGTAGGGACATCCCTTCTTCAAAGCGTTTTAGATGTTTTAATTTAAACTTCACAGTGACGAAAACACATACCATGCTGATAAAGGAATTATTCACAAACAATTTCAAACTCACAGATCATGTTTACTTGACACTCACTGTATTAAGTTTATTTGCTAAATCATGTTGCTTGCCGTAAAGAGTATTTATTATCAACAAAACTAGTATTTGAATCAACCACTATTCAGCATTGGTCGTTGTTTGTCAGTCTTGGGTCATTATATTTTCTACCCATCAGCGCTAGTTAGAAGTTCGTATATTATTTGATTGGTTAGTAGATTGATAATAGTGAGCCAACAGTGGAGCAATATTAATGTCTGCCAGTTTGATCCTGGAAAGATTTAATTCTGATGGTGTGGATTTTAAATAATGTCTTGGCTTGTATTATGCGAGTTTGAATTTGTGTCCATTGTTCATTTTATTTTATGCTTTATTTGTTAATGTTTTGCATTTTGTCCATAATCTGCTTGATATACAGTTTTATTGAGAGTATGTCTTGAAACAGAAGGCAAGGTCAGTCTAAAAACCAAAAATTATATGCATTACAATTAAGGACTAAGAGACAAAATGTATTAAAGTACTAATAATGGTTTACTTTAATACTTTTAGACATAAGCCTACTGTTTTCATATGTTAAATAAGTATAATAAATGTCACTAATCACAAACTGAATGACAAAAAGCACAAACTTTATGTTACAGATCTATTCCATACTCTTAGGAGTAATTAAGCATACAGATCTGCTTCCTACCAAGTTATGTAAATGGAATACTAATTTGTAATGTATCTTAATCATTATATTTATGCATATATTTTCTTATGTGTTCGTATATTTTGGTTGTATATTAATAATTATTGTTCATTGGTCTGGATAAAAGTAATTTTAACTATGGCCTTCTTTTGACGAACGGCAAATTTCAAACCCTTCAATTGTACGTATAAATATCTGTGTTTACAATAGTGCAATACCTTCATAAACTTGAGTAGTTTTGTGTAGGTTGGATGATAACAAGTGATCAGCAAATGTAGAATCAGAAGATTTAACAGTCTGTTTTAGTTGCCTGTCTGTTCCCTACGTTATTTGTTTGGCATTGCTGATCATTTATTTTTCGTTGTCCCAAACAATATTGGATTTTGTTGATACACTGTTAATCTTATCACTGTGCATAAGACAATGCAATTATTACCTTCTTTCAATGATTTCTCCAAATGGAACAAATGATCTATTCAAATGTTACAACTAAATTTGTTCATTTGCTAAGTTGTTATGGTTGACAAATGATTAACTACTTTAGTCAGGTATTAAACAACAAGAGGTGTTGAGTAATGAGCATACCTAGTGGTGAGCCACTGAGCGGTGAGTTGGGTCGAGACCTAATCTTTTCAATGATTGGTCCAACAAGCAGTTCCAAGTCTTCTGCTGGAACGTTCTCATAAAAATTGTCTAATGAGTTGAGGAAAGTGGCTACGTTGTCATTGTAAGACATGGTCTCCACAATCTGGTGAAAAAACACATTCATGTGGTTACAAAAAGATAAAAAATATTTATCTTACGATAATAGAGAGGCATACTGAACTAAAAGAACAAATTTAAATTGGAGGAATTACATGACACTTAAGGCAATTTTAAACAGTCTTTTGGCGCTAAAAAAGAAAAAGAATCACAAGACTTGAACGAGAACGTTTTTTTGCCTGTCAAGTCGGAAATCAAGTTTCCATCCGAGGGAGGAGATAAAGCGCCCTTGATGTCAGGTTTGAGTACCGGTACTAGCATAATTGGCATAGATTTTTTAACAGCACATTTTGATGTTTTTGGTTCAGCAGTGTTTGATAATAGTCAACCAACAAAGGAGCAGTGTTAGTTAGTGTCTGCCTTCAAAACAGTGGCGTAACAGATTTTTTTGGGCCCCCCTGCAAACTTATTTTTTGGGCCCCTCTCATGAGTTATTTTTAGACCACCGATACAAACATAATCAAACGCTCTCCCCCCTAAGAGTTATTCATCGATCAACAATACAATGGCCAAACAGATTCATCATAAATATACTGTAATAGTATATATTATGGGTTATGTTCCATAAAAAGGCGTGTTAAGTAGGCTATTACAGTCATGGTTTGATGATAAAGTTACATCATTAAGTTAGGCTATCTAAATCAGTATTTGTAAAAAGTTTAGAAATAAAATAAAAGTTCCTTATTTTTTAATCCGTATCAGAATGTTTCATATCAAGGAGGTATTATATTTAATTTATTACACATGTTATGAATTATTTATTCGGTTAGTTTTTATCGACGGTTATAATTAGGCTAACTCATACACAAAGTTGGTTAATTTAGAATATTGACGTAGGCCAACTGTTATCAAAGGCTAAAATAGCCTATTGCATTGATTTTGGTCTTTGTATGGATTTCATGTTTGACCTTACAAACATATGTCTTTAATATTGATTAATTGTGAGGTGAAATAAGATATAGGGCCTAGTCTAACAAACAAAGCCACTAGAGGAGCAATAAGTTAATTGTATTTCACCTAAATACAATTTAGATTGGATATGCAATACAATACTTAAAGCCCCAGTTGACATTCATGATTGCTCCAGGTAACTAATGTTTCAAAATATTGGCAGACGTAAGTAGTGTATGGAAGCACAGAGGAGTCAAATTACTTCTCTGTGACGAAAGTTGGAATGTATAATAACCAACTCGCCTTTGGCTCGCTGGGGGCTCCGCCCCCAGGCCCCCTAGCTGTTAGTCGTCATTAGTAGTTTAGAGTTAGGTTGTAACAAATCGGGTAACAAAGCAGTCATTTAAACAGTCTATATTGCGTTATTATAATACAACTTCACGAATATATTTGAGGAGGCTGGCAAGTTAATTTTCAGCTCCAACTTAAAGAATCCATTATAAAACATTAATTTTAAAGTTGCGGTAAGAGAGTATGTTAGTAAAGTATGTTTACAACTGAGTTTTTGGTCAAACGAAGTGATAATATAATTGGAATTGTAATTGCGAAAATCGATATTGAAGTAATAATTATTTCACTATATATTAGAGTAGATTGATAAGTTATAAGTTGATAATGGTAAAGTATTATACTATGAAATAAATAGATTATAGTAAATATTCATGTATATATTTTTGAAAATAGATAAAGTTATTTTTGTTTTCCTGTCAGCCACAAACTGTATGGCATATCCAGTTCCGGCACGGGGAGGCCAGGAAACACAAGAACCATATTAATTTTGAATCATTTATATTAACAGTTATAGTATTTCAAGTAAAAAGATGTTAGTAAATATTTATAAATTTATTAATGAAAATTAATAAATTTACTATAAATAAAATAAATTTACTAATTTTTAGTAGACTTTTGTATAAGATAAGGAAATTGATAAGTATGTAGATTGATAAGTGAATAAGTTGATAATAGTAAAGTATTATATGAAGTAAATAGATTATAGTAGATATTCATGTATATATTTATGAAAATAGATCAAGTAATGTTTGTTTCCCTGTCGATTAGCCATAAACTTTATGGCATATCCAGTTCCGCCACGAGGAGGCCAGGAAACGTCGGAACCATATTTGCAATTATTTGAAAATGTACAAGTTAGTAAACTTTTGAACAAGATAAGTAAATTGATATTGATGTTCATTGATCGGTTAATAAGTTGATAATAGTAAAGTATTATACGATGTAAATAGATAATAGTAGATATTCATGTATATATGATGTAAATAGATTATAGTAGATATTCATGACGTGTATATTTATGAAAATAGATTAAGTAATGTTTGTTTCCCTGTCGGTTAGCCTTAAACTTTATGGCATATCCAGTTCCGCCACGAGGAGGCCAGGAAACGTCGGAACCATATTTACAATTATTTACATTAAAAAGAAGAAAAAATATAAACAACAACGGGGACTTTTGATAAGGCAGGCCCCCTATCGTACTGCCAAACTAAAATACTAAAAACACACAAAAAACGACTTATTTCTAAAGAAAAAAACTTAAAGGGAATATATACAACAACCTAAAGCTAAAGTCAAGTCAGGGTTACAGGAGGAGATCGTCATACACGATATTTTTCGCGTATGCGATTCCACCTTGGACACGGTCGGGACGGACAAGGACGACTATATGGTCTGGATGCCTGACTCTACTGAGCAGGACGTACAACTGACCATGAGTGAAACAGTCACTGCGAAGATCGACTCCAACGCGATCAATCGTCTGGCCCTGGCTTTTGTGGCCAGTCATGGAATATGCCAGCATGAGAGGAAACTGAAGACGGCGGACACGAAGCGGTGACCCCTCGACGAACGGGAAAACGAATTGTATCCGGGGAATACAAATCGGATCATGTTGTCCAGGGAGTCGCACTGTGATCAGACGAGGTCTTATTGCTGTCACGATCACTTTAGTGCCGTTTACGAGTCCGCTGTCAATGTTCAAGTTCCTCATGACGAGACACACGGAGCCAATCTTGAGTCGCAGGACATGGTCTGGCACACCCTTGCCAGTAGCTTGGTTCAACAAGTGAACGTCTACATCCATACCATCGTCGTTCTCCTTGTCTACAGAATCCGCACTCCTCAACTCATGAACGACGCCGTCCATCAGGTTGAGGACGGTGTTGTTGATCTGCTGGACATTGGCGTTCATGGTTGAAAGAATGGACCTGCCAGCAATTATGTCTGTGTGGTGTAGGTCACAAGCAGGAAACACAAAATTGATCAAGTTGGGAAGGGATGTCACGTATTTCAGACCGGACAGTGGGATCAGGGCAACAGAGTCACGGCCTTCCCCAAAAGGAACAGATGTAATTGTTCCATTGCCTACTTGGAGGAGGAAGTCAGAGTAGGCAGTGGACCCAGAAGTCCGGTGGGGAGTGGAGAGAGAAAAGATTTTGAAACTTGACCACAGAGATGACGCACACAGTGATACACAGGCAATGTCGGCCGGAGTACGAGCCTCCTAGAAAACTTCTACAAAAGAAATTTAAAGTAGTCCTACGAGGAAAACTCCTAGTAGGGTTTTGTAGAAAATAAAATTTTCTTACGCTAAGATGCTTTCAAATCTGTTCTAGCTCTTACCCTTTTCGAGCTATAGGCGTTTGAACAACACGTGTTTTGTTGTTTTCAGAGGTCCGCCATTTTGGATTTTTGGGGTGGTTAAAATTTGAAAATGGGACTTTTGCAAATTTCACCGTTAATGGAAGATCCCATACTACAATACTACCAAGTTTCAAGTCTCTAGCACGTTTCTAAGTTGTTCAGATGAGCATACTAAAGTCGTCAATGTTATTCTCCATAACAATAACATGGGGCTCGTGAAAGTGGCATAAAACCTTCAAATTTTGAGATTCAAATTAAGTTTTGGGGGTCAAGGAGTAAAGTTACGAAAAAACATGTAACGTGTAAAATTTAAAGTGAAGTAAGGAGAAAACAAAGCAATAATAATTTAAAAAAAAAAAATATTTAAGTATGAAAAAATGGCGAAAACCGGTAAAAATTTGATAAAAGTTCACAAAATTTTGAAAGTATGGCGTTTTTTGAAGCTGAAGGAGTGCGATTTTCGGAAAACGCTGAACAGGGTTTTGTAGAAATTAATTTTAATTTAATTTAATTTAATTTCCTTTCGCTAAGATTCTTTCAAATCTTTTCTAGCTCTTACGGTTTTCGAGCTACATCCGGTTGAAAAACACGTGTTTTTTTGTTTTCAGAGGTCCGCCATTTTGGATTTTTGGGGGGGTTAAAATTTGAAAATGGGACTTTTGAAAATTTCACCATTAGCTTATGATCCCTTACTACAATACTACCAAATTACAAGTCTCTAGCACATTTCTAAACGATTCATATGACCATACCAAAGTCATTATATTTCAATCTTATTCTCCATAAGAATAACACGGGGCTCGTAAAAGTGGCGAAAAACCTTCAAATTTTGAGATTAAAATTAAGTTTTGCGGGTCAAGGAGTAAAGTTACGAAAAAACATGTATTGTGTAAAATTTAAAGTAAAGTAAGGAGAATTCAAAGCAATAATAATTTTTTAAAAACAAAATTGTTTAAGTATGAAAACATGGCGAAAACCGGTAAAAATGTAATAAAAATTTACCAAATTTTGAAAGTAGGGCGTTTTTTGAAGCTGAAGGAGTGCGATTTTTGGAAAACGCCTAAGAGGATTTTGTGTAAAATTTTATTCCTGTTCCTGTATATACTTTCAAATCTTTTCTATCTCTAACCGTTTTCGATCTATATCCCTTTGAAAAAAACGTGTTTTGTCGTTTTCAGAGGTCCGCCATTTTGGATTTTTGGGGGGTTAAAATTGGAAAATGGGACTTTTGCGAAACTCACCATTAATCTAAGATCCCATAGTACAATACTACGCAAATTTGAAGTCTCTAGCAAGTTTCTAAGTGGTTCAGATGGGTACACGAAAGTTGGCCATTTTTAATGTTATTCCACATAAGAATAACATGGGGGGGGGGGGAATTTGAAATTTCGGGGGGGTTAAAATTTTGGAATTTTATGGGTGGTTTGGGCACTAGACCTACAAAACACCGAAAATTTCAAGTCTCTAGCTCGTCTAGAAGTGGTCTAGAATTTGTATACCTGAGTGAGTAACAATTGCGGCTGTATAGTATTTAGACTCGCCTTGTGCTCGCTGAGGGCTCCGCCCCCAGGCCCCCTTTTAATAGTAGCCGTGATGAGAAATGTTCACGGGGGACAGGATGTTGTCCGGAAACATTTTTGCGTAAAAGACGTAGTGATAACTTGGCAGTTGCGAAGTATTCCATATAGGGGTTGTTTAGTGCAAACCAAACCAGTCTTGACATGTAAGAGTCTCGATGTAGGGCCGGTTCTATGATAAATTATGGACCCCTTGCGCAGTAAAAATCCCCAAAAATAGGTAAAATAAGGTAAAAATTCAGGTTTAAACACGAATTTGGGGTGGAGATGGGAAAAAACTAAACGCATGGCTTAATCAAATCCTGGTTGCAGTTCGTTCGCTACGCTCACTCACCTTTAGGTTGGAGCTCGTTCGCTGCGCTCACTTGCCTTCAGTTTAGCTCGTTCGCTACGCTCACTCACCTGTAGGTTGGAGCTCGTTCGCTGCGCTCACTTGCCTTCAGGTTAGCTCGTTCGCTACGCTCACTCACTTTTAGGTTGGAGCTCGTTCGCTGCGCTCACTTGCCTTCAGGTTGGCTCGTTCGCTACGCTCACTCACATTTTGGTTTGAGCTCGTTCGCTGCGCTCACTTGCCTTCAGGTTAGCTCGTTCGCTACGCTCACTCACCTTTAGGTTGGACCTCGTTCGCTGCGCTCACTTGCCTTTAGGTTAGCTCGTTCGCTACGCTCACTTACCTTTTGGTTGCAAATTAGCTATTGTCATAGATTAAAAAAAAATAATAGTGCTGCACCCTGTTGCTAATGGTAACATTTTATTAATGGGGATGAAAGAGGGGGGGGGGTTAAGATGGGATTGGTGTAAACATCCATAATTCACCTACTTACATTTAGGTCTCGTTTGCGTGTCAAAGCATATTAATTTTCTATAAGGAATACGTTAAAAAGCGTAAAAAACTATCTTTTTGATTAAAAACCCGCCATTTTAAATTTTTCAGTACGTTTTAATTATAGAAGGTCACTCAAGAGACTTTCCTTTCAACGTTAAGACCATAAAAAGTACAAATATATGTACGAAAAGTCGTTTTAAAAATCAAAAACACGTAAGAAAATCGAGAGTTTTCACAATTTTTGGAGTTAGAGCGTTTTTTGAAGGTGAAGGAGTCAGATTTTCGATATGACCCCTTCTTTGAGAAAACTGTCTTGTAGAAAATTTAATTCTGAACCTACGATTTTCCCTCAAATCGTGTCTAGCTCTTACCGTATTCGAGCTACAGCAGTTTTAAAGAAACATGTTTTTCCCCAAAAATCTAGGGTTTTACGGGATTTCTTTTGGCAAGTTTCAGTTGGAAAAACTAAATTTTGGGACTTTCTGGGTGATTTGGTACCCAGACAAACCTTCAGAAAAAATTTCAGCTCCGTAGCTACTCTAGAAGTGACAAAAATGTTTTTTTCTGTCGCCAAACGCCCATATTTCACCTACTGACGTTTACTTCTAGTTAGCTTGTCGTTGCATGTTAATTCTCCATAAGAAATACGTTAAAAAACGATCTTTTTTATTAAAATCCGCCATTTTGAATTTATTTTTGTAGGTTAAAATTATTGAAGGTCACTCTAAGGACATTCCTTTTAACGTTGGGAGCATAAAAAGTAGAAATATACGTGCGAAAAGTCGTTTTAAAAATTAAAAACACTTAAAAAAATCAAGAATTTTTACAATTTTTGGAAGTAGAGCGTTTTTTGAAGGTGAAGGAGTGCGAATTTCGATATGACGCCTTCTCAGACAAAACTGTCTTGTAGAAAATTTAATTTCGAACTCACGATTTTTCCTCAAATCGATTCTAGCTCTTACGGTTTTCGAGCTAGAGCTGATTTAAAAAAACATGTTTTTCCGAAAACCGAAATTTTTATGGAATTTTTTTGGGGGGGTAGAATTTTGAAAACGGGGTTTTTATGAATTTTACCGGTAATGTAGGATCCCATAGTACAATCCTACGCAAATTCCAAGTCTCTAGCACGTTTCTAAACGTTTCAGATGAGCGTACGAAAATCGGTGTTTTTCAACGTTATTTCCCATAAGAATAACATGGGGGGGAAATCGGTAATTTAAGGGGGGTTGGAAGGGGAAAATGCTACTTTTCGGGATTTTCCCGGGGGTTTGAGCACTAGACCTACAAAACGCCAAAAATTTCAAGTCTCTAGCACGTCTAGAAGTGGTCTAGAATTAGTATACCTGATCAGTTACACATGCGGCTGTATAAATATAGAGATGACCCACGTATAAAACATTAAATTTGTTACCTTAGTTCCTTATCATTGAATAGGCCTATCAAAATTAAATGACGACAACATATTATTTAAAACATTAATGTTATAACTTGTTCAATACAATTATTGAATGATAATACATTTCAATAAGAATGAACTCCAATTTTTCAGCCCCAATCGTCTCATGGGCCTCTCTTCTCGCCGGTTTCCGCTAGCCGTTTCGCGGGTCCCTGGGCCCCCCCGCATTGCAGGCCCTTCTGTTACGCCACTGCCTCAAAACCAATGGTTGCCAGTTTGATCTTCGAAAGATTTGATTTCTTAACCTTTGCCTTTTGTCGCCAAACTTAACTACTTTTAAAATTTTTATGCAGATCTACTTTATTGTCTATTGGATACTGATTAGACAGTATCTATATGGAACAGCTGTCGCCAATTTTTTTATTTAAAAAGAACAGTTGTGTGAGCCAGGCACAGAATGCGCTAGTGTCTAAAACTATATTTTCTTACTTATTTTAGGTTGAAAGTTGATGGGCCACAACAGTTGCTATAGTTCACACTAAGTCATTCCATCCACTGGACTTGGTAAACAAGTTTGTGTATTCTACAGAAATTAGTAATTAAGATCAGCACAATCTGTGGGTGACTGACATTAAATAGACGATTAAAAACCTGGCACCAGCTTTAACATGGGGATGAAATGTCTAGTTGTATCAATATTCAAAGGTTACTTGTAAAAGTAGGTGTAGTTAATAGTATTTGTCTAGGATTTTTTATTGTCATATATTCAGTTTGTTTTTTAATGGAATTTTGGTGATTAGTACACTGTAATTTACACACTGTATTTATGTTTTTATGACTATTGGATATGCAATAGATAGACAATTAGATTGTAATTTAGGTACTAAAAGATCATAAAAATATTCAATTAATAAACTCACAAATTTATATAAATTAATAAATATTTTCCAAGAAATTTGTAAATTGAGACAAAATAGTTTAATACTTTTAGTTACGAATGTATTTATAAACTTCATACACTAAACTAATTAGGTCAATATATTGTTCTAAACTATTTACTGTAAATTCCATAAAAACTTCTACTAAATGTTGTATTACTTTTAATAAGTGTGCAATTATATCTTAATTTTCCAAAAAGGCTTATAAAACTAAAAAAAAACCCCAGCAAACATCAATCTATTGACCGTTCTATTGTACATTCTAAATAAACCCTGAACGGTGCAAGAGTATGGAACCTATGTTTTAAACCAAACAAACTTATTCAGGATTTTATTGATTTTTGAAGATTATAGTAAATTTTTATAACTATAAATAATCAATTAGACTTTTAACATTAAATTAATAGCCAGCCTGAATTGAATTACATTATTTAAGTCCAAAAGTAGACACTTGTAAAGCAATTAAATGAATTTCAACAGAAATAGTTTGTGAATACAGTTACATTAATGAATTAACCAAATTGTGGGGGGGGGGGGGTTCCAGGAGGGGAACAGGTAGTTGTTTATCTCTACTTGACCTTGACCTTGCATCAGAGGCCAGCATTGACCAGAGGTTATCCTCATAACAACATGGTCTTGGTCTGTTTACCAAATATCATCAGTTAACAGTTCTTTAATAGGTTCTAAATGTGTATTCTTTAAACTTCGAAAACATTTTGGAAGTTTTCAATTCCAAATTCATGCTGAAAAAACTATATCGATAAAGATATTAAATAAACTTCATAACATTTTTACCCTTTAGCCCCATAAACATTGTGTACCATGTATGTTATCACATAGAGAAAATCTACTGAGATTAAACCGAGCCAAAATTGTTTACACATTGATGTAACTAAAACACTAAAGACTTCTTGAACGTACAAAGTTGGATCAACTGTTAACATTATCAATTCTGAAGGTTATTAAGACTACAAAGAATCAAGAATAAACTTTTGTGAATTATTGAATGATAAAATAGATTAAATTATTGATTTCAGCCATAGAAAATCAAACAACAATACAAAGAACAACCATGTAAAAACACCCAATTGAGGCTATAGGTTTTCATATTATTGTCAACAGATGATGGAACAACAACACTTGGATGACAGCTTGAAGATAAAGCAATCGACAGAGTTTACATTAGAATGGTTTAATTACATACAACATATAATTGGCTTACAAAAACTCTTACCTTCCGTAACTCCTCAACATAGTGCATCATTGCCTCCTCTTTGGTCATGTTTCCCAGTTTTGACCAGGCTTCCCATTTTGCCCTTTTAACGACTTCCCAAAAACTGGGTTTGGAGTGATAATTGGGACCTTCCGTTGCTTGCTTGAAGTAAGCGTAGAACCGCAACTGCAGTTCATGTGATGGTTGGTACGAGCCTAAAACAGATTTTTCATAAGAAATCATAAAAATAAAATGTTAGGAAAAAACTGACATTTACACACACAAAATATCACTTTAATATGGCTTTTAGTGGATGGAATTCACCAATAGAGAAATGGTTCTCCTTGTCCTTTTTTTGCTTTTTAGACATGTTTGTGGATCGAACCCATAATCTGAGCTCTGAACCTTCGAGTAATGGGATCATCATCACATTGCAAGTACTTATTGGTGATTGGTAGGACTTGAACCCAGATCTTCAGGACAGAAGCTACAAGTTCCAACCAAGGTTAACAAATGTGCAAGCTACTTAAACATATTGCAATTTTAAATTTCTTTAGAATAGGTACATCTATTACTATGCAAAGCTATTCATTTCAATAGAAACCAGAAACTGTCAAAAATGAAAAATGTAAATACAAATACGTGGAAGTCAAACCAAAGCCACATCAAACCTGCAGACTAATTGAATTTTTACTCAAATATTTCCATAAACAAGTCATATTTGTTACCCATTCAAATGACATTAGATTTAACAAGTAAAGTCTAAATAAATTTAATTTATAATTTAAATCTAAGTAAATTTAATAAGTAGGTTTGCTGCTACGGGCAAGGTAAAAAGTGTTTTTATGACCAAGTATAGGATGAAATTAATAAATTTGCCAAATTTTTATAAACATATACAGTGATTTAAAACTTTTCTTTGTCTTCATAAGAACAACACGGGAATTTTATAGCACACATTTTTTTATTTCTCTGTAACCTTAAATTGTACAACGACGCTTCAATATACAAAATTATTTGTTTTTTAAGCTCTACAGGATGGCTGTAATTAAAATTGGGCATTTCATGTTTAAAGGGAGAAATTTTGAAAAAACCAATTTGTAAAAAACGTAAAGCCCAATAACACGTAAACTCATACAAGTTTATTCCGCCCTACACCTTCAAGACCAATTTTATTGTAATCGGACCAAAATTACTCGAGTTGTCGTGTTCATGGACATGAATAAAAATGTTAACAAATATTGTTTTTGGCCTCTGGGGATCCCTACCGTAATAAACACTTCAGTACAGAGAAATTTGTGAAACATACTAGACAGTTTTTTTTAAAACCAGATTCAATTGACTAATACATGGCTTGTGCGGCGATTGTCTCAAAAGTAGACAAGACAAAATGAAGCCAAGATTATGGACCCACAAAACCACAGTCACCACTAATTCTTGTGGTTACGCTGTCATTCTGCGGTAATTAATTATTCTCATGAAGATCCTCCCCTTAAATGACAGAGTATGGAACTAGGCTTGTGAATCCTTGCGGTTGAACCCACATCTACGAGTTTGAGTCCAACAGAGAGAGTGTTAGCAATGATTTTGAATACAAATTTGTTGTAGGAAAAGTAGATATAAAAATAAATAAAAGAGTGCTTCATTTTACATTATTATTGAGCATTTTGGAAATCGTAATACCAACAGTGTTTGAATATAAATATATAAATGTTACTAAATTATTATCTTTTGATTAATAAAACAGAAAAATATATATTATTAAATAGCTTTAGGTCATTAAGGCATTTAAAGAAAATAAAAAAAGATATTGCATATTGTTAAACATTGAAAAAAAAAAATATATTGAAGGGAAAAATATACAAAAACTATACATAAAAAATGTATTTTGCCTATAAAGCATGATGGAGGGAATTATCTGTTGAATTCCGGGGGTGCAAGGGATAGAACACGGAGTTAAAAAACACTGACTATTAACATTGACTTTTGGTTACTGAAGTAGACTTCCCATTTATACGGACCAGCTGTAGCCAATTTTTTGTTAAAAAAGAACGTAGTTGTGTGAGCCGGTCACAGAATGCGCTAGTGTCTAAAATTCTATTTTATACCTTATTTTTTGTTGCTGACCAGGTTGAGGGGTCATAACAGTTGCTATAACTCATCATGTCATTCCCTATGATTGACTTGGTAAAAGAGTTTGTGTATTTGGCAGAATTTAGTCATTTAGATCCCTATCTGTAGGTGGCTCACATCAACTATGACAATTTTAATAAAAAATCAGGCTACAAATTTAACATGTGGATGGAATGTCTAGTTGCATTAATAGTCAAAGCTATTAAGTATCAATTAGTCTAGCTAGTCAAGTTGTAAGAGGGTAAGATTGCTATCCCAGGGTATGTGTTCACATCCTGCCAATCAATAATAGATTTTAACAATCATAATGTTGCAGTTCTAGTGGTTAAGAACTTTTAGTGATAGCTTCAGTTATCTAGACACAAGTGTGAGTCTATTAGGGTAGAACTTGTAGCGCCAGCTGATGTTGTCTTAGCAACGCACTATTATTATTCTTGTTATTAGATTTTTAGAGGAAGGTACATAAAATTGTAACTCTTCAATATTTCCCTCTTACTTAATTGGTCGTAAGTTTATTTGAATATACAAACAACCACGACCAAAATGGTGACCCCGACTCCGACTTTTATCTAAAGAGTGTGACTTTATTTTAAGATTTTTATCCTTTTGTATTTCCTATAACAACGATGTCATTAGAAGAGCTGCAAACTCAACTCGCCGAACTGCGTATGAATCACTGTGTCTTCCAAGAGAATTTTTTGTAGTACCTTCCCACGAGAACAACGAACCCAAGGATTGGTGTCCGGGCTGCGTAAGCATATGAATCTCTTGAGATCTACACCCGCGTCATGCCACAACAAACAAGGATCGTTTGTTTTCTAGAACCTCCGCACTTGTGATTTTGTATTCCTCCGACAAGACTGTTTAAGGAAATCTTTACAGGCCCCATATTCTGGTCCCTATAAGGTCATATGCCGTGATAACAAGACAATCACGATCATTGTAAGAGGCCAAGAAACTAAAGTGTCTTTGGACAGGGTCAGGCCAGCCTATATTGTCGGGGATGAAAATCATATTCCTGAGCTTGCGAAACGTTTGGTGCCACCTGGGCTTAAAGCGGAGGAATCCTCAAAACCAACCTCCACCTTGTCAAACTCCACCTGCGAAGCCTTATCAAACTCGTTCTGGAAGACAAATCCGACCACGGGTTACTTTTCAGAATGTATAGTTTCCTTTTCTCCGTGGGGGCTGGTGTAGCGTCAGCTGATGTTGTCTTAGCAACGCACTATTATTATTCTTGTTATTGGGTTTTTAGAGAAAGGTACATAAAATTGTAACTCTTCTATAAATGATTTTTTCCTTTTACTGAATTGGTTGTAAGTTTATTTGAATATCACAAACAACCACGGCCAGAAACTTGTACTGTTTTGGAGAACTGCCTCCACTAAGTCGTACAATTCAATTTTCTTTTGTTCTAAAATATTACCCAACTGCTCAATGAGTAGTTAAGTTATCACATGTTGGAAATTGCAGAACAATGGCTATTGTGTACTATGATTATTGCCATGTTACAGAATATGTACAGGCTTTCATATTTGATAACAAAATATATACTGACCAAAGGAAATTATTTGCTTGGAACTTTAAAACACAATTTTTAAGAAACAAACTCATATTTACATTTAAGTTTAAAACGGAAAGGTTTTCATTCAAGCAGACAAATTAATAAGATTTGTGTTAAGTACAATTTGTAATATTTATAGTAGTCAGAGAAATATAGGATATGACCTTAAAAAAATTGCAAGAAAACGTTTTATGGTTTTATTTTGTAGTGTTGGGTTTGCAGAACGACATACTAAAAGTTGCCAAAAATCGGTGCACGAGAAAACCACTAAATTTACAGAGTAATTTAAGACCAGAAAGAACTTCGTGACGTATTAACAACCCGAGTTATAAATCTTTTAATAAAAATATATTTCTAAAAAGTTAAAATTGATATTGTTCTGAGGTTCATAGCTGGTCTTTAACTCGTCTGATTTTAATGCTCAAGAGCTCAAATGGAAGCCCTTACAATACTGAATATTTTAAGGCTAGAACAAACTGCAACCGTTAATAAGAACTGGAGATATAAGAAAAATAATTTTAAAAAAAATTATCAAACTACGAAACGTCCATAAAAAATGTATGGGGGAGAGTTTTCGTTTGAACATATCTTCTAAACGAAATAAGATATTTAAAAACGGATTTCAGCATTGAAATCAGTGTAAAAATGTAGTTTGAAATTATGTGTCACAACACTATCATTACATTTAAAAAGTATATATCTATGTCCAATATGGCGGATCCAAGATGGTGGCCAAAAACGCGTTCCCTATCAAAATGAAGTACTAACGACTCAATAAATATCGGTGGTGATCCCAAGTCAGTTTCTCAAAAACTTTTTCATACAAAATGAATGTGGTATCTTTTTTCAAAGTTTTTTCAATGTTGGGAAAAGCCGCCATTTTTTAAATTGTGATTTTAGTGGTTTTCTCGTGCACCGATTTTTGGCAAATTTTAGTATATCGTTCTGCAAACCCAACACTACAAAGTAAAACCATAAAACGTTTTCTTGCAATTTTTTTAATCATCCCTGTGTCAGTTTTCTTAGTTTGCTTGGACTATAGTGTTGTAACAATTGTTTGACAAGTGGAATACTATCAAAGAAATGAACACTTTTAAAATTTCAAACCAATTCTTGGGTAACAAGTATTCTTATTTTAACAGGATGATTGTTTCAAGCTGTTAAACTCTATATGTTCATGCATTGTGCTAGTATAACTGACAATTGAATATTGCAGTTTTCCTTGTAAAGAAAGAAGTATATATATATATTAAAAATAAAAGTATTGGTTTTTAAATAACTTTTATCATACAGCTTTTAATTGAAGAAGTTGTCCAGTAGTGAGAAAGTTCTGCTTACCAGGCTGGCTTAATTTTTATTTTTTTATCGGTGGAGCTTTAAAAATTAGAACTTTTAAAGGACTTTTGGATAGGAATAAAATAGCCATTGGTCAGATTTGAACCCAAGTCTCAAGAAATAAGCGTTTTCTTGGAAATTTCATCAACACTTCTTGTCCTAACCAGCAGACCAGCAGAATCC